GACACGCCCAACGACGAACTCGAAACACTCGACACCCAGAAAATTTGAAAGCTCGACGCCTAAGACGGTCGACTTTCGGTCGTTCGGAAATTGCCAGAAGGTTTTACAGAGCAGCTGTTTTACATTGCCCGTTAGTAGGTTCATCACAACAACTCTTATAAAGTCAGGAGTCAGCTGTCACCCTGCTGATTGTAACCGGTAGGTGTTTCGCTCACAATGCTTTCTAAACATTGTTGTTTTTCGTCTGTTTTACAATAATTAGACAACGACGCACGTCGCATTTTTCGACAATAGTGGTCTATCCGGGTTGAAATTTGCGTACCACTTCAATGATTGTCCTGTAAATGTTTTACCTCTCGTAGTGGACAGTTTGAGAGTTTGACCCTGATAAATGACAGTGCTACCTCCTTTCCCTGACTTTTAAGCATTTTGGAGTAATCAGGTCTAAAATAAAAATGCGTTTTGCACTACTAATTGAACTTCAGGACTAGTGAGGGATTACGAACATAATAAGCAGTGAAAAATGTCAAAAATAATTAGGCACATTTTTTTTTGTGTTTTCGTGCTCTACATGTTATGATACAGAGCCTTTTGTGAGATTAACAAACGACGGTCAGTTTTTTTTTTGATAATGATTGTTTTAATTCAAATCATGCGTTTGTCTTGCTGGACTACTGCCGTAGTCTCTCTTGAAATAGAAGTTGTTGTGTTGAGAAACGAGTTGTGTTGCCCTGAGTAGGGATGCATACGGTATTACCGAAATACCGGTTACTGGTGGCTACGGTATACCGTACCGAAATCAGATCCGGTTTCGATGCTTTACTATTTTTTTAATTAATTTTAAAAGTGAGTCCGTGGCCCGTGATGGCGGGTGTTATAAATTAGATTGCATATTCGTTTTTCTTCATATTTTATGTATTTTTCATTGTTTGAACTGTGATGGGATTTGTTTTCTCTCACCAGTGAAGGTAAATGTTGATTTTAAAGATGAGATTTGTTTGTTTGTGCAATGCCGAGATCTCATGACCATTATTCTATTATGTATTTGTTCTCTAGTCGAATCTCAGGTTTAACATTAATTATAACGGTGCTATAACAGTCTTTTTGCATTGACAAGATGTGTTATTCACGCGGCACACCTGATGGCGGGTGTTATAAAAGATATTCCATAATCGGTTTTCTTCATATTTTTTATGTATTTTTCATTGTTTGTTCAGTACTAAAAGTTCCAATAAGTCCCACAATTGAATTTAATATTCATTTGACATGTTAACTATATCGTAAAGCGCTTCATGGGAGTAATTGTGGGATGATACATTTTCAAAGTATCACGATATGTATCGGTATCGTTCAGTGGTATCGGTATCGGTATTGTAAAGAAGTCAACGATATGCATCCCTAGTTCAGTGTTTGCTGTGTGTTCAGTGTGTTCAGTGTTTGCTGTGTGTTGCAGGTGGAGGTGTTGTATGGAGACGAGCCCCTGAAGGATTACTACACACTAATGGACATCGCCTACTTCTACGAGTGGAGACGAGTGAGTGGCAGCTTTCATCCTTCACATGCTTACCCTCCTGAACCGTTACTATCACTCTTGTGTCTTCATAGTTTAATTTTCCCCTCTTTGCAGCGTTTCGCAACGTTTTGCAGCACTTTCACACACTTAAAACTAACAATTTCTTGTGCATGTCCTCAAATTCAAAACATGGGTTGATGGATGGAAGTCTGTCCTTGGTTTGAGCTGGAGGTACTTTTTAATTTGTCAATGGGTTAAATGGTCCGTCATCATGCTGACATTGTGGAAAACATGTAAACATGATCCCAAAACCATTTCAGTTTATTCTTTTCATTTCTGCTATTATTGTTTATTTCTCTTTTTAGTTCAGTTTATAGCTCGTGTTGCCGTGGCACGATCTTCTAACAGAAATCAATTCTTCAAGATTGATGCTGGTGGTATTTAATACATTTCTATATCGCCAACAAATGCCATTTAAAAGACAAATCCTCTCCACCCTACCCTCTCTGTGGATTTCAGCCCAGGCCTGTTATTATTGACTGTTCACAATATTTCTCATTTATTTTGCTTCCTTTTAAGAAAAAGTATATGTAGTTTCCTCCAACAGTAGGACACTGTAGTTTTTGGCAAACATGACTTAAACTGGAGGAGCTCACATTTGTTGGGGACTATTTTCTGCTGAGGATTGATCCATGGTGCGTCAGATGGATGTGGGATGGAGTCAAAGTAAAGTACATTGTCCATATTTAAGGGATGATTTGGATTTTCTAAAGTCTAAAAGTATCACTGCTAGTTTGGTAAAGCAGACTGGAGTGATAGCACAAAAGCTAAGCGTTGTACTGCTGTGGATTTTAGCCACCTTAAAGGTAATGCAAATAACTAAATACAATCTAGCAAACTTTAGATATATAAGGAACTGTTTGACAACACCTGTAGCAAAACTCTATATGACTGCCATGATCCTTCCCCACCTAACATACTGTTTGAGCAGCTGGACCCAGGCGAATAGCACAACATTAAGGCCTATCCTATCACTTCACAAACATTTAAGATTCTAAACGGCAAGGCACTCTGCACCTTTATACAACAGAACAATTCAAACAGCAGAACCACAAGGTCTGACCTAAGAGGGGACTGTGCAGTCCCTCTTAGGTCCAGTTCCTTTGGTAAACACTGTTTCTCTGTGAGGGCATCAACACAATACAGATATGGATTAACACCTCCTATCATACATTTAACCACTATCATAAGAACTGGCTTTTAAGCAATCAAAAATGTGAANTTGCTGTGTGTTCAGTGTTTGCTGTGTCTTCAGTGTGTTCAGTGTGTCCGGTGTTTGCTGTGTGTTCAGTGTTTGCTGTGTGTTCAGTGTGTTCAGTTTTTGCTAAAACTGAACACACTGAACACACAGCAAACACTGAACACACAGCAAACACCGGACACACTGAACACACTGAAGACACAGCAAACACTGAACACACAGCAAACACTGAACACACAGCAAACACTGAATACACAGCAAACACAGCAAACACTGAAAACACAGCAAACACAGCAAACACTGAACACTGAACACACAGCAAACACTGAACACACAGCAAACACTGAATACACAGCAAACACAGCAAACACTGAAAACACAGCAAACACTGAACACACAGCAAACACTGAACACACAGCAAACACTGAACACACAGCAAACACTGAACACACTTTGACCCACATCAACAGACAGAGGTCCTCTTTAAGATGAGGTATTTCTACCTACGGAAGTTAAGATCATCTTTACCATAGTTTATGATATTTTGAAGTAAAAACTCCATATAACAAAGCCTCCGTTGTACAGTAACACATAATATGCAATAAATATTTAACTTACTTTTGTTCTACCTTGGAGGTTTTGGGATCTTTTTTTTAATGTGTTGTTGCGTCTTTATTTAACGCTAGTCTTCTCTTTTATTTGGTCTTTTCCTGTTTTGTTTCTTTTCCTGTAACAATGGAAATATCCCCACTGTGAGACAAATAGAGGCTTTTCGATTTGGATTGTTATCATCAATATGGAAAGTTACATTGGAATATCGACCCAGTAAAACCTGCGGCTCATGTTCGATCCTTTTCTTTATTTACTTACGCATGAAAGTTTAAAGCGTTCTTGTTGTGTTTCTACCTCATAACAAAAATGGCACTGTTGTGGCAGATCATTTGTACAAAGACGAGCCTTTATTTGATAGCGTCCAAAAAAGAGGTAGGTTTTGATGAAGAAGCATTAGGTGAGGAAAGTCTAAAAGTAGGGCTGAAGCCAAGTTGTTAGCATCCAGGTGGACAGGCGCACAAATAAATATGACCTTTAATTCATTATTTCAAACATTAGCTGCAGAATTTTCAGATCTTTTTAAGATCAACATATAAGCACTTTCAAGGTCCCTAAACCAAGAATTCCAACACTCTTGCAGATCTTATTCTCCCCTCTTCTACGGCGGCAGAATTAATCCACATGTTATCAATATAGCAATATGGTTTAGTGTAGTATGTGCAATAATTATAGGGGTAAATTAAGGATTGTGGTGCTGCATAGACCTCCCCGCCTACAAATCCTATTCCACAGACTTAATAAAATATCTGTGTTTGGTATCTCACCATGATAATTCTGAATAGATCTTTCAATGATAGTGAGAACAAAGACGCAAAAATGAACAATCCCTCCAATACCGTGAATCAACTCGAAAGTCAGAATAATCACAATGATTTTTTTCCAAAATCATGCAGCCCTATACTCTATATTCTTATCATTAATGCAATTGTGAAATATAAAATATAATTCCTCTACACCCACAGCAACAGATGTATACAGTCTGTTCATTTGAACTTTTGTTGTATGTTTCGATTATGATTCCAATAGACCCCACTCTTAATGATCGCAGCAGTAGGCTACAGTGAGAGATGCTGTGTTAGCAAATGTCTCAAAAGACTTTGTGTGAGTGTAACGGAGGTGATCTCTGGGGCCGTAGATCTCGGTCTCCGTTACGTAGGATATTAATTTGTTCCACGCTAAAACATTGCACAGGAAGAATGTGAATATATGTAATTTATGCATCTATTTGTCACGTGTTTTAGTTTGTCTGTCTCTGTTTCCTGTTTTAGTTTGAAAAGTGTTCCCCCTCCCGTCTTGTCTGTTGCTGGTGATTGTGTTCACCTGGTGCCCTGTGTTTCTCCTCCCTCCTCACCTGTGTCTTGTTGGTTTGATTAGTCTGTGTGTATTTAAGCTCTGTTTTCCTGTTAGTGTGTGTGGGAGATCCTGGTTGCTGTGGTCACGTGAGACAGTCATATTGAGGCTGTGTCATGTACCACAAGGAGTAATACATGCCCACACTGGGTTGTTTTTGGACGTTCTGCCTCTGCCTCCTTGCTTGGTCGGGCCGCTCAATGGTCAGCTTCAGTTTTGAAATGCAAACTAATCAGTAAAAGGTAAGTCTGTTATTTATTACATTATGACTTTTCATAACAAGAAAAGCACAGGTGCAACGGTGACAGAGATCCAGAGACGTGTTATTGTGAAAGCTGTCTCACTGTGGATCAGAGCCATGCTTTCCCTGTTCTCTCTTTACCGTGACATAGTTCAAATAATAACTGTTCTTTTGGAGACGAATGGTGGTGGAACCAGTTGTAAACATGACAATGAAATTGGATCGGCTTACAAAGCTGTTATGGTTGTCAACCGTTGTCTTCTTGATAACAACATTAGTTGTTTTTGTAAAAAAATGTTGCCGTGTTTATTTGTCGACTTCATGTCTAAAAAAAAAAAAAAGATCCTTTTAACTCTATTGTGACGTTGTGACTCCAACTCCTGAGAAAAATATCTTGCTCTTTTGCTGCTTCTTTTTTCACAAAGTTCATCAGCTAGCTATAGCTACTCTATATGTTGTCTTCCACAGTGCATGCATAGTACTGCTCCATGAAGGCAGGATTCTCAGCTAGTAGCTATAGCAACATCATGCTGATATCTTCAGTGCACTTATAACCTAGTTTAAGGTTCTTTTTGATAATAGAGTGGCTATTTAAAAATGTCAAGTTTGTGCAGCATGCCCCGTGTCACACTTGTAATGATTTTCTCTGACCAATCACAGGTCTGCAGTGATATAACTCAACCTTCTGGTTTCAGCTTTGCTTGCTTGGAGCCTCAACATTGTGCTCGCAAAAAAAGCAGTAGGTACTATCATCCATAACTTCTGCAAACAAAAAAAACTAAATGTTGAGTAGAAATGTGGCATTTGTCTTCTGTAAAATGCTCAGATTAACTTTGTTTATATGACTGTTTTCACTTGAAACAGCTGTACGCTACACCTGACAGCAAACCAGAAATGAGTAGCATGAGTGAACCAAAACAGTTCAGTTCTGGTCCTAAATTACTGCCATTAGCTTTTTGCAGAAAAGCACTTCACTTTGAAACGTTACATTTGTTTCTTTAAAGCTTTGTTAGTCAATATGTTGCACTGCCTGGTATGACCTGCCTTTGTATCAGATTTTACAACTGTGTAATTTAGAGTCCCTCGATATTATTGTGTGGAAACCTGGTGGAAACCCTGATAGTTTGTTTAAATCAATACAGCATGGGTTGCTGTGTGTGGGTACAAAGTGTCATTACCCGGTAGTTGTTAGGGATATCCATCTTGCTTCGGAGGAACTTTGCTAAGTGCATGACGGACATGGCTGCTGGGCACTGCAGGAAGCGTTTACCGTTGGCCTGGCACCGAGAAAAGAGCAGACCGTAAATCCACACTGAACACCAGAAGACCTCATCAAACATGACACGTGTGTGTGTAGGCTTCAACTGCTGCGTCACCATACACTGATTTCTTTCAAAATAAATAAAAACAAATCTGACTTTACCTTATCACCTTCCAGCTCTGAATGCTGCCTCTCATTATTTCTGCAAGGAAATATTCAAAACAAAGAAAAGGCATTAAGCAATAACAATAAAATACATAATCCTCAATTATTTTGGAAAATATTTAAATCAGAATAATTAAACATAACTACTCGTTGACTTTAAAAAATAGTGCATTCTATTTAACAGAGGATTTCTTCAACCTGTCAAATAAAAAGCAATAAAATAATATAGTATCCTATATGCATTTAAGTGTAATAAAAAAGAGGTACGCTGTAATGTTAGTGCTTTTCCACAATATACTAATAAAATAAAACCGTAAATATATTGATCATTATTCTATTTAATATTGTTTTGGTAAAAATGTTGATCAGAATTATGATATTTGCTTAATATTGCATTGAGAAGTAAGGGATAATGTGCAGTGAAGCGGTCATTGAAAAGGAAAACACCCGATCAAGATCCCTCCGCTTCGCGTCAGTCTCTGTGATCATCCTGTCAGTGGATCTTTTTCAATAATGACCGCCTGGCTGCACATTATCCAGCTCATTACACGGCCACATACTAAACAAACTAACGACTAACTTGGCTTATTTTTCACTTTTTAAACTATGCCAATTTATCGATTCAGCTATTTCAAAGTGTTTGCAAATTTGCAGAAAGTAGGTCCATTCAAGCATTTAAAAAAAAAAAGTTTTTCGCAAAACAGACATCTTTATTTCCATGTTGTATTGCCTACAGCAATGTTCTTTCAAATTGTTGATCATTTGAAAGAACATTGTTTTTGTTTGAGCAACTTAAAGAGACAAGCTGTTATATAGCTTTTGCATATGTTTTATAGCCTACGTTTGGGTTGTTTTTGTGTGTTGATGTTGTCAATTTGGAAATGCAGTTTTCTGAATATAATAATGGAAAAACATTTTGGCGTGTTTTTTTATCCGATTCATCGATTAATCGTAGAAATAATTGACGGATTAATCGATTATCAAATTAGTTGTTAGTTGCAGCCCTAATATAATTTCTATAGAGATTAAAACCAAATAGACATATTAAATACAACTTGATAACATTAACTATTTTGTAAAGAAAGGGTTCTTCCGCAACCTACTGAACACCCAATATAAAACAAAACAATATTCAATATAGAAAATATTTTATAATTTGGACCAAAACAAATATGACCAACTATGTCGTAGCGCACTACCACAACATACAGAAGACTCCTGAATCAATATATGTTTTAAATGTTTACATTTAACATATTCCAGTCAGGACCTCCAGCAAAGCAAACTGCTGGAAAGTAAACGTAGGTTGCGGCTGATTTATAACACAAAACGGCAGGATAATTACTGCAACGCAACGTTGAATAATGTTCGCTTTATTAAGATTATCCTGCTTTAAATTGAGAACAAAAATTCAATGAAACACTGTGGACAGCCCAAATGACAATGTAACCTTCACACATTCATTCATTTCATTTCCTATTTATCCTAGGTTTTAAATGGGCCTTAGCTATTTATTTAAGTAAAACTACTCTATTGTTTGCTTTATGCATGATCAGGTAATTATTTGTCATTGTTTTCAAACCTGTCTAAGATTTTCCACAGCTGTTTATTTGTAAAACTGAGAAATGATTGACTCACTTGTTCCTCTCGTAGAACTGTATGGACAGACTGATGATTTCATCCTCTGCTATGTTAAACGTCTCCACCACTTCCCCTGGTTCCAGCACACGGTTCTCTGCGTAGAAGTCCCGCCTCCGTTTCATCTCATCTGGGTTCAGAAATAAAGTGTCCATCGGTAAACAAAGGCATCATCATGAAAAGCCGTGCGTTCCTCTGCAGGCTCATAAACGTGGTCTTACCTTTGAATAATCCCGGAACAAGCTTATAAACAATATCTTGTAGAGTTTTGTCAGCTCTGGAAAAGATAGAAAAGAGTTGATAAGCATGATGCTCATTGCATTCAGATGACATAATACCTGACACAGCAGATCATGGTAACTTACCGGATGCTGAGCTGAGGACATGTCTTGTGGACCTGAACGTCACATCGAGGGCAGAACTTATTTGTCTCCAGGAAGGCAACGATGCAAGTTTTACAAACTGCGTGCAGAGAAAGAGGAGAGATGCTAAATCACTGCTCTGCATTACAAACAGCGTTCAAGAGGAATTTAGGATTGCTTTAAGTGGGGTTGCTACTTATCCACAGACAGGGGACTACATACAGTAGATTGGACAAACAGACAGGAGTACAGGCAGAAAAGGCCCCATCCCAAGCAGTCAAATATGTTTTACTCAGTTTTTGACACTTTAAAGAAAAGCTATCAATATTCTCTTCAAAGCCACCACTCTCCATTGACTGAAACAGGATGTTCTCTTGCATAACACAGGAGTTGCTAGTCTACTGCTGCCTTAGTTATAAATTACTGTTTTTTTTTCTTCCAATGGAGTCTATAGAGTGCCACAGTGACGCGTCCTAAAACCCGGAAGTAAGCTGCGGGTTCCTTCGACAAAAAAGCAATGGGATTTCTCCATAGGGTTTTGGAAAATAGCTGGAAATAAGGTCTGTGGTTGACACACATTTAAGAGACGGGTCAAGTTTTGTTCACTCGGATCATCTCCACATGTCTACCCTAATTTTATCATTTTCGAGTCATAAATCTAATCGATAGATTTATGATCGATAGATTTATTATTTGAAAATGATAAAAGTAGGGTTTTAGGACGCGTCACTGTGGCACTCTATTGGCTTTGAAGAGAGCATATATTCAGTTCCCCATCAGAATGGGCTAACTGAAAGCAAGGTAAGGTGGTTAAAATGTTGTAAATTCAGCATACACTTAAACTATTATTACTTTTTTTTGGGTGGCTTAAGTATGTGTTCATGCTGTCCCTGTCCACAGTGGTACAATGCTTAGCTTCCCTGCTAGTACTTCCGTTTGTTTCTGCAAACTGACATCTAGGCATAGGTAGTACACTCGTTATGAATAAATACCTCATCACACTCCAAAACACCAAAGCTATCCCATCAATGTAGACTTCATGGAGCGGATTTAGAATACAATACTACTTTTGATTTGAGTTAAAGCGATATAATATAAACTCTGTCAAACGAAATGTAAATGTGTCACATGCAATAAACCTCATTGGTCCCTCTTCCTACAGACCTGATTTAGAAAAGGACATCGTCAGCAAATGACTCATGTTTGCCTCAATACAACCACAACATGAGCTCTGCGAACATACAATAAATGGGGATCTTCTTATTGGGGTAAATGAAAACACTGTCCATGCATGCGAGGGGATGTTTTCATGTGAGGAACTTACAGGAGTGCAGGCACTCTACGATGGTTGTGGCATCAATTAAGTAGCCAGCGCACAGTGGGCATGTGAGGTGTGAGTTCAGATCTGTGATTTTAATCCGGTTGGGCTGCATTTTATCCATCTGGACAGACCTGAGGAGGGAACAAACAACAACACACAGGTTCTAGTTACAAAGTAGGGCAAAGGAGACTATGTAAATGCTTGTTAACACTATTAGAAAGAAGAAGACGTACTTAATTAATCCCCAAGGGGAAATTAAGGGTTTCACTCTGGTATTATTTTTTGTTTACATTAGTTGGTATACACATGGACACATGCACAAACAGAACCACATGCAGAGTAGCAGAGTGAAGGGGCTGCCAGTCGTCTGGCGCCCGGGAGTTGGGACTCGGTGCCTTGCTCAAGGGCATCTCGGCTGTGCCCAGAGAGTGAACTGGCACATCTCCAGCTGCCAGTCCACATTCCGTAAGTTGGTCTTATCGGGACGTGAATTGCCGACCCTTCGGCTCCAGAGCCAAGTCCCTACAGCCTGAGCCCCTTATTATTATTATCCCAAGAGAGTGGCTGCCTTAGACAATGTATGCAGCTCGTCCTTGGGACAGCCGCTTGTGAAACCACAACAAAGAGAGCTCGGGGCCAAAAAACACAAGTATACTGACATGTAGTAGCGAGAAATAACGTGAGGAGAGCAGGAGCCGTGCAGCTAAATGCAGCCTGTGTGCTGCTGCTGCTGCTGCTCACAGCCAGCAGACTATTGAATCGCCCCTGTGTGGCCTCATCTCGTGCATCAGCTCCGCGAGCAACAAAGAGCGTTTCATGCCCCGGAGCTCGCGCCGCCCGCCCGGGCACAGACACCCGACACATCCCGAGCGAGCACACACACTGATGGGGGTTGCAGAGCCGCAGAAAATCACACTGGTACACAAAGCAGCCATCTTACATTCACTGACAGGGCTGTATCAGGAGGCGAACAAGAGAGGCTCAAAATGTGACACCGTGCACTCTGTGTGCGGCTCATCAAACCGCGCGCGACGGGCCCGATAAAGAGCGGGCACCGACGGTTGGTTCCTACCTGATCACACATCAAAGTTAGCCTCTCCTCCCAGCCAAGATCCAGGTAAATTATTTGGACTTGGGCAGAATTTGCAGCAGCGCCAGAAAATGGCTTTTTTCAGCACCGTCAGAGGACTGCCCATTTTGGATCACGTGATATTATTTTGTCGCCTCGTTCACGGGGCAGATCAGGGATCCTCTGCAGGCCCGGCTCACTTCATGCATCCATTTACTCTGCGTGGGCCCGCACTTACATTCTGTAACGTTATATCTATTTTTTTATTTTGTATTTCAACATGTTGCACAGGAGAGGGGTGTGTTTGTCTCAGCCACGCAGAATGTGAATTTGCGTGAGGCCCCGCAGCCTTGTTGCAGGCCTCCCGGGCCCGATCGGTGGGCTGTCCCAAAAGAGTGTGGAATTGAATTGGCAATTTGCAGGTCTCGCTCAATTTGAATTATTTTAATAAGAAATATATGTATATCGTATAATAAATGAAATGAAACATTATTTACATTTTTACATTTTAAATAGGGTAATAGGCCTACCAGTGGGAAAATGTGTCTGATCAAACACTGAATTCTGAATATGCCTTAGCATGCCACAAATCCAGTGAAGCACAGTTTAAAAATGAGTTTCATTTTAATCAAAATAAGCTTTTCCCTTCAAACCAGAGATTGGATCATGTCCTGGGTAACCTAAGAAATCAGCACACATTTACAGATAGAAAGTCAGCAAAAAAGAATAGAACTAAAATAGGGTAAAACTGACAATAAGTCAGCAATTCCCTTAGGTAACATGCAGACATTCTATTTATTGTATTCATGTATTTGACAGGGAGGCATTGTTGCATTTAAAAGAGTGAAACAGTCTAAGTTTATTAGTTGTAGTTAATTTGAAAACCTGTTCCATGGTTAGGCTACTAAGAAATACAATCACATAATACAACAGTGTTACAGGCATAGAAACTAACAAGAAAAGACAGACAGACAAACAGCAGTAACCTAAAGAATAATTGTGAACCACGACAACAAATATGATTAAGAAGAGCATTGTATATCTATAGCCTACTATATGAATATACATTAATCTCAGTGTTAAAAGATTTATCTTTAAGAGAAATCTTCAGAATCTGTTATCTCTTACTTTAGGACATTCATGGTGTCAGATCAATTACCCAGTTATACTTTTAATGCAAACTATACTGGCTTTCATATGTGTTAGGAATGGTAACATACTGTAGCCTGTAATGAGTTTTCTCTGAAACAAAACATTTTGGACAGTGTATGATAACCATCAGGTCTCATGAAAGAAAACAACTTCAAACTGTTACAAAGGATGACATTATGAAGAAATATCCTGACACAATTTTTTTGTTTTCCTGTCTTGGTTCTTCACTTAAAATAAAAGGTTTGTGACTTAAGGCATATGATAAGGCATGTTTTTTGTCTTGTTTTAATTATAGCCTACTTTAAGTACTTTTAACAGTAGACGTATGGACAAACAACATGAACAAATAAGAAGTAATACAAATATTTACAAAATTAGATTATTACAAATGAGTGAATCTTCTTGTGTATTTGTAAATTTATTAATGTGTAAAAGGGCTTACTCCAGTAATTTCATTGAAGAAGCCAAGATATCCTGACTTATAGACCCTTAAAAAGGTAAAGCTCCAAAAACATGAATACACTTCGCACAATGCAACTCTGTTCGTAAAGACTCACCCTGCTCTACATACAGAAAAGTTAGCTTTATAGCAATACAATGGTTGGAGGGCCCTTTTTAAAGTATTATTTTAACTTAATGTCCAATGTCATCATATATGACACATAGTACACATCCAGTTTGTGAAGAGGCAGAAGACTCGGATGACTTTTTATTCTTCCTTTATGAATATTCATGTGAGAAAGTTCCCTGGTCCCCTGAGGCAGGTAGGGCTGCAGCTGCCAATTAGTCATCTGAAATGTATTCATACAAAGTGTCTATAAACTTCTAAATGTACTACTGTTTATAGTGTATTTATGATACTGTCTATATGTATACTACCCCCATATTATATTCATATTTATAGTACTGCTAATACTGTTCATATACTTTAACTTTTCATATCTGTCGTATTTAGAAACTCATATTATACATATATATTACACTGCACTTTACTGCTTCTCTTGCACATTTGGTGAGATGCTTACTGCATTTTGTTGTCCCGGTAGTTGTACTCGATAAAGTTACGTTTGATCTAATCATGGATTTAGATATTTTATCAAACATAGTGGTGGTAATATATCTACAGCTCAAATGTTTGATCCTATTTCTGCACTTCAGGTGCAGACAGGAGCTCAGTAGTATGTTGTTTTTAAAGAGCATACCTGACAATTTTATAGTGACACAGAATCTGACCGGCGACAGATTTAAGTTCAGGGCCATAAACACCCGAGGACACTGAGGTCATGTCCGCTGGTGGTGGGTTTTTTCAGGAATTTTTTGCATTTAGCCACCTGGGGGTACTTCACACTCCACAAACTAATAATAAAGAAATCGACATCTGGATTTTTTTTTTACAGATTAAAAACTCTATAGTATTTTCTCACTATGTAAAAAGTGTTAAACATGAATCCATTAACAAGTACACAGGCCAACTTGCCAAACACCTAACTGCTTTTATGTTTACTTATCAATTAGGATGTACTTAAAGCACCTGAAAAAAACACGTACAAGCTTTTTACAACACAAAAGCCAACATAGCAGCAGGGGGAGGGGTAGAGGGAAGATAGGAGTGAGAGGGAGAGGGAGGACACATTGAAGTCAGTTAAAGAGAAATATCCATTTACTGTATTTGATAGTGAGCACATTTTATGTTCACCCAACTGTCACTATGTGCTGGGCATGCATGTTGCGCTGATTAGAAAAATTTAAAAGTTTCTGCACATATTTGTTTAGTGCAGAAGTCTCTGCACACAGAAAGGGCCCATACAAGAGGAGTGTGCTCTTGATTGAATTCGGTGGACAAAAAGTCTGGTAGTATGAATGAAGCGTGTGCCATTTTGGGCAAAAGTTTTCTTTTGATATGTGTGCATATAGTTATGAGTACAGTTCTTTATTCTGCAGGATATATGGGGTGTTTTGCACTTTGGGTGTGTGGTTTTGTTAATTGTGTTGAGTTTTTTGAGAAAATTAGCCATGTTTTCAAAAAAGTGTGTAAGCATTGAAAAAAACTGTTGGTAAAATACTTGAGAAGTGTACTTAGTTACTGTCCAACACTGACTGTATGGCTCCGGCCTCCAACCCATCTCCCCTCCTCTCCTTTGGGTATCCAGGGTGTGGGAACCCCTGCAGTCACCACTGGCGGCCTGCTGGGGGCGCTGTTGACTGTAAAGTGCAGTACAGACGCCATCTTGAGGAGACCCCAAACGCAGCGCTGGTGTATGACTGACAACAATCTCAAGCGCATCATGATGGGATTACTCACTAACAAGTAAAACAGCATCACACCTGCTCTGCGTTGCACGCGTTGAAGTGAAGGAGCAGAGCTGCCCGGCGCGTGCTCCCCTCTCCCGGTAGTTTTCCTGCAGAGAGGGGCTGGCTGCAGCCCGATGGCCGGCTAGCTGCTCTCTGGACTCCGCCGCGGCCTGCTCGGGAGGAGGAAGGGTGGTGACGGCGCAAAATGCTATACCGCTGACTCCCAACAAGACAGTTATCCTACCCAGAGACTCGCTGCGAGGTGGACGACGAGCACGATGCACTTATAGATTTTTTTAAAACGCTCTTAACTTTCCGCATTGTTTTGTTGTGTGTCGGGGCGACAGTGAGTGTCGTCTTGCGTACCCTGAATTCCCAGTCTGAGACATGTCATCTAACTGCACCAGCGCAGCGCCTGTCAGCGCTAGCAAAACCAAGACGAAAAAGAAGCATTTTATAGGACAGAAAGTGAAATTATTCCGTGCAAGTGAGCCCATTCTCAGCGTTTTAATGTGGGGTGTCAACCATACGGTGAGTCCATCTTAAATGCCTCTCTGTCGCTAGTAAGCGGTTTGTTTATGCTGCTGTTTTGATTTAGCTAGCATGCTAGCTTGTTAGCCAGCTGCCCTCATCTGTCATGCCAGCTTTGAAGCTTTATCTCGTTATTTGTCATGTTTTCGCCAGGTATTGAGTAGTGTGCTTGGATAAACACCTGCTGGTTGACTGTGCTAAGCTGGTCATTGTCAGACAGTGTGTAGCTAACTGCCTCTGAAGCTAGCCTCGGTGTGCTGAGCCTGAAGCGTGCGGTTTGCAGGGATTTTTGAAGTGTGTGTTAAACTCTGCAGCTGTGGAATGAGTATCAGAAAATCGGCATGTCCGCGGCAGGTTGTGCAGTTTCACTCAAAGCATAGCGTTACCAATCTGCCTTCATAAATCATGGATGCTGATGTGTTTGGGAGCCAAGTCGTGAGCTGCGGCTGTAGTGCAGGAGCATGGAGCGGGAGGGGTGTGACCGGAGCAGCAGGTTACACTCTCTCAGCCCCGCAGCTGCACACAGCAGCCTGCCTTTTGTTCAATAAACCTGCTCTGAGCGTGCAGTTGCAGATCCAATGCATGCAGTCGACTGCTGCACTTAACTCCTGCACATTCATTTCCTATAAATAGAATAGAAAATATATCACATTCACTTTTGGCCGCCAGTGCCTATGGCTATGAAAAGCACAGTGAGGTTCAACATCAGAGATAGATGGGGTGTGTTTGCACTTTGCAGCACTAGTTTGCTCTTGCTTAATGTGCAATACAATAATAACTGTTTTGTCAGACAGCCACTCGGGCGCAGTTTCTTTGATGCATGAAAATCAATAAATAACTCAAGGGTCTCCAAGTCACTACATTATTGCCCGATTTGCACTATTGGGATGAAATGTCAACACAGCAGATTTGCCCCTGTGACTTCTTCTTTTGTCTGATTACTGCAAGACATAAGATAAGAACCACCTTTTCCTTTTTAATGAAAAGACAATATAATGCATGCAATGGGGGAATTAAGGAGGCAGATAATGATATGGTCACCCCTGCAGCATCTTTTATTCAGAGGCTGAACTTTGGCAGTGGGCGTGTGGGTGCAGCACGGCCAGGAGATGGTTTGAGGTGTGGGCGGGAAGCCGATTCAAGACATCAAACCGACTTCTCATCAAAGTCCCCTCCTTCCAGTCAGCAGTTGTATACATTTGTAAGAGAGCCTCAGCTGTGAAGCTTGAGACTTCAGCTCCACAAAGCGTCAGTTAGTGTGCAGATGATGCAGCAACTGCACCACCTGTGAATCTTTTTCTGTCATGTCAGAGTCATTTCCAATCCTGTTTATCTGAGTTTAAGTTAAAGAAGTGTTTGTGATTGACTGCACTGCTTCTGTCTGATCTGCAGTAATGACAGTGTTGTGTTACATATAGATACATTTTGTTAAAAATCTTCATGTTTCCACAAGTTATAAGCAATAGCTCACTTTCTGATGAGTTTACTGTTACTGCACACATCTGAGTTAATGTTATTAACGTGCCTTCACAGAAAACTACCCGACTTAATTCCAATATTAAACTCGTAACTGTACAAACCACTACAGTTTGGATTTAAATAATATATATATATACGTTTTCCTACCATGGATTGAAATAACATTAATTTGTTGTTATTTATATTATGAATGTGGAAGTAAAAGAGTGGTATCAGATGATATTTTTTGCTGCTTTGAAGTCATTTGTCTCTCTCAAAGTTATATAACTGCTGCATATGTTCATCACATTACCATTACCATCGGGAGTTTGAGTTTGAAGAACTAGTAGAATGAATATTAAATGAACAAATGGTACCGCCAGGAGTCTATTCGTTATTACAAGCTTAATAAAATGCTCATAGTAACTATGGTTACAGTGATTTGTTTCTCAAAGCTATCAAAAAGCTTAGGGCAGAATCATTCCTGAACAAATGGTGTTTAAATAATTTGCTTTCAGTTATCCATTAGTCATCTTAAAAAAAAAAAAATTACCTGTACACAACGCATTGACTGCTACAGTTTCTTTTCAAGTCGAAATACACTGAAACCATAACCAAGATGAGGCTTAGTAACTATTCACATTTCTAATGTTACTGTTTTTGAACAGCATAATACTTTTTGAGGATATAGCCTAATTCTACTTTGAAATACAGTAAAGTATTTGCTTTGGTATGTTTTCTTTTACAGTAATGTACACTATTTTAGTGTTTGAATTATACACAGTACAGTAAATACATTTGTAGTGTACAATAAATTGAAAAGTATTTGAAACAGTCCCTTTCAATACTTTGTATTCATGTTATAAATAAACAAAGGTCAAACAGATACTGATCTGCATAGTAATACAAATTTTAAATAAAAAATGATAATATCAGTGAAACATGTGTATAGTGAAACATTTGACCCTCACAGATGTGATCCGTATGAAATGTTTGCACTGAACTGTGTGTAGTTGCTAACGGGCTCTTTCACGTTTCCTCCCTAGGGGTGGGGAGTGGTATCTCTTCAATCTTTCCGCCACATGTCCCCTGTATGGTTGTTTACTCGATAACCTACAAGGAGTTTTTTTCTAAAGTGTATCAGCCTGAGCTTTAACTCGGCATGTGTTTCAGCAGATAAGATCAGAGTGGGTGGGGGTGGGGTGTGGGGTCAGCAGCAGTAGCCTGCTCTTTGGTCCCAGAGTTAATGTTTGGTGCTGGTAAATACTCCCACGTATCTGTCACTCAAACAGATCTCTGGATACTGATGAGCATCGGCAGATTGGACACTTTTCACATTTCACTGAATATACACTAGTGCCATATTCAATGAAGAAACATTATATTTGCTAAAGGCTAAATGTGTGTTTTATAATACAATTTTGAAACGAGTATATTGGCCAACAAAACATTTGATTGGTACAAGTCTCTTCAAAATTACACCAAATACATTTTATCTGATAATGACAATTATGATGCTAAAAATATCCACCTCTCCGTTATCGTGAATCATATCGCAATTGCATATCAGTCAAAATAATTTGTGCAGTCTTGTTTTAAACTGTGCCTTTATTTAAATGGTCATATTTGATTGTTTTCATATATTCTGCAAATACGTATAGAGCCTGTGCTGTGTGCGTCAGCTTCAAGCTCCTGTCTGATCTCTCTCTGTTTTTCTCTTCTCTCCCTCAGATTAACGAGTTAAGTAACGTGCCTGTACCAGTAATGCTGATGCCAGATGACTTTAAAGCCTACAGTAAGATCAAAGTGGACAACCACCTATTTAACAAGTAGGTACATCACAGCTTATGAACTGTTAGCACTATTCGGTAGAGGCACAATCTAATCCACCTGCAAACAAAGGGTCAACCCTCCCCCCACCAGAGTTCAGAACACCTGCTGTCACTCCAACATGACTGACAGATGTTTCAGAAAAGCAGTTTCCAGCTACAGATTGAATACTATCACAATACAAATCTAGGCTAGCTCTGAACGGCCTGATATAGGCTCGATTCAGAATAAATGTCCCCCTGCAGATTGTGACACAACCATCTTTGCACTACTGATAATCCTCATGGCTAGTGTCAGTGCAGGACTGGAGCAGGGTGGTGTTTGCCTTAAGCCGGTCAGGCTGAGAATAGCATGAGATCATTTCAGAGCCGTGACCTGCCCAAGACACACCTGTGTAATAAGCATGCTGCTAAATAGGCAATGTGATATGACACAAAGACAACTTGGTGAAGTAAATAAATCTACAGTATAGTTGTGTATGAAAAACTTGGTTTACAGGTTCCTAAACAATGCAATATAAATATATACAAGACATAAAAAAAATTAAAAAAAGCTATAAAACTAGTGCAAGCTCATGACAATCTGATAATCTTGTAGCCAGCTTGAGTGATGCACCTACAGTTTAGCCTCATGTGGTTTGGTCTTTTTACACTATCTCGCATAACATGTCATCTAGCTGATGCTTTAATCCAAAGCGGTTTAACATACACTCTTATGACATAGACATACACTCTTATGACAGACATACACTCTTATGACATAGACATACACTCTTATACCATAGACATGCCTACAGGAGCGATCAGTATGCCCAAAGAAGCTGACTGCTGCAGGGGGGTTGAGCCACTGCCCCTCTGAGCCAAAAAGTATTGTGTTGCTTTGAGAACTTTCACATCTTAGTGCTACTAGCCAGACACAAACCACGCAACAATTACAATGCAACATTTGTTTTTTTATTATCTTTGCTAATATTTCAAGCACAGATTGACAGAAATGACTAAGAGGATGTGTGACAGTGTCAGATTACAGCAGTGCAACACAAAATATAAGAGCATACATTTACATAAGTAAATAAGCAATTTGAGAGAATGGGGTCTTATTTGGGGATATCTGGGAAAGCTTTTCTTGTTAGTAATAGTATTAGACGTCTAACAATGCACATTTGAAATGTTTTGCTGCAATTCAAATGTATCTGTGTATTACATTTTGTCACAGTTTGTAGTGTTGTATGTTTTTTCACTAGTTTGTAATCACATGTCTCTTTCTATTGCTCTACCTGAACAAATACACTCTATATTATGACTGCCAATAGGAATACAGGATGACTCTTAAAAAAAAAAGTCACAATTAACAGCAAATGTTCATTCAATAAAATGTATGTTTGCTTTTGAGATTGGTACATATTTGTAGTGAGTGATTGGAAACATGTCAGTGCCTGTGCTCACACAGGAAACATGTTTTGTTTGCTATGCTGAATTAAAAAGAGGTGTTTTGATATTTGATGCACTTTAAGTGTTTGCATCCTGCACACCAGCAGCATCTCTCAAAGCTATAAATGCCTGATTGGTATTACTGTCTATGCAGGATCCACAGAATAGGAGAAATAAATCCAACACTCAGCAAGCAAATGTTTGTCAATCATCACTCCTCCCCAGTTCCAGTAATGAATCCCTGAGCTCCTGTTTGGTGTTCTGACTGTGTCTCTTCCCCTTCAGAGAAAACCTGCCTAGTCGCTTTAAGTTCAAAGAGTACTGTCCCATGGTGTTCAGGAACCTGAGGGAGAGGTTCTGCATCGACGACCAGGACTACCAGGCAAGTCTCCCACGGACCAACTCTGATGGATCATTTCATCTCAGAGATCCTAAACCTGAGATCTGATTGATCGGTTACTTTTGTACCCTGGGAATATCCCTAAAGGTCTCATTAAAAGCCATAGATTCTTTTTGAGCATAATTATGGAAAGTATAGAAACTATGACAAAATTCTGGCGTAATAAACGCTTGTAATCAACGCTGAGTGGAGAAAAATAACTTTTATTCTCTGAATCAAAAAGGAAAATGTAGATTCATATTGAGGGATATTCTGATTGTTATAAATGTTTTGGATCTTAACAATGTCTCTTTTGGTTGAGCTCTCTTTTATGCATTGTAAAATGTAATTGTATTTTGTTATTTGTATGCTTTATTGTCCCAGTCCTCATCTGTTCTATTTCAATAAAAAAGTGTAAAAAAAGAGTTCTTGGAGAGTTATATATAACTAGATTTCTTTTTGTTGGCAGAACTCTTTGACGAGGAGCGCCCCACTCAACAGCGACTCCCAGGGTCGCTTCGGCAACCGCTTCCTGTCCAGCTACGACCACCGCTTTGTCATCAAGACCGTGTCCAGTGAGGACATCGCCGAGATGCACAACATCCTAAAGAAATATCACCAGGTAGCAGCCTCTCTCACCACAAAGTATCTGTGATGTGGTTGAATATATGTATTCTTATTGCAGGAACACAGGAAAGAGATCTAAGAGCATCAGACTGTGAAAAGTATTCCTCATTATTCATTTGAAAGTCACAAATCCACGTAAATGATGCAAAAGTGTTGAATATGACTGAAGAGCAGTGTCCAGTTTGAATCAGTTTTCATATTCCTCACTTTCCGCTCCACTCTCTTCCCCCCTTCCTTGATTGTGTGCAGTTTATCGTGGAGTGTCATGGCAACACGCTGCTCCCTCAGTTCCTGGGCATGTACCGGCTGACGGTGGACGGGGTGGAGACCTACATGGTGGTGACCCGGAATGTTTTCAGCCACCGCCTCACCGTACACCGCAAATACGACCTTAAGGTAGAACTCTCTCTCACACACACACACACACACACACACACACACACACACACACACACACACACACACACACACACACACACACACACACACAGCTACTGAACACTATTAGCACAGAGCTTTGATTTGAGGAATGACGGATCAACAAGATGAATGAAGTAAAAATGTAGTCACATTATGGATTTATTTGAAGCGATGCATGAGGTTTTTTCTCCAAGGAGAAAGTAGGAAAGCAAAATGAATAAGAATCAATGAACAAACCAAACAGAATAACATAAATACAAATTAAGAACATTTATGACAAAAATAAATAAAGATGGTTGGCTGGAATGTGCAACTTAAGCGGAATACCAAATATTAGCTGATTCCACTTTCGTTATGGAATAATTTGCTTAGGTATTCAACCTTTGACGCAGTTCATCATTTTCTCCTCTCACTGTCTCCTTTCCCGTGGCATAGGTCTAGGTCCTTGTGTATTGCTGCTATCTCTCTTAAGGAGGAGCAGCTTGGACGCATTGTTTTTGCCAGTCTATGACCGAGCACAAGCCACCATGAGGTAGTTTACTGTTCAGGGACGAAGGTTCCCTGGCGCACATTCTTTCCTATGGACGAGAGCTCTAGTTAGATTCAGGGTCCATATTTGTTTATTCTCGCTGATGAAGAATGTTGATTAAAACACTCCGAACTAGTTAAAACCTCGAGCTGCAGAAGATTTCTTCAGAATTGGTTTGGCATCCGCTGTGTCAACTCGTGACACAAGACACGTCTTGGGAATTCTCCGGCCGAAGCTCCAAATAAACCGTCAGTGTTTGACATCAAAGCTCCAGCTCTCCTTGTGTCTCTCTGAGTCCTGTCTCCATTGCTTCAGAAGTTTCCATCACACCTTTTTCTGTCTTTTATTTAATTAAAACTTAAATATATATATCAGAACACCTGCTGTCACTCCAACATGACTGACAGGTGTTTCAGTAAAGCAGTTTCCAGTAGAGATGTTAAGATTCACCGATTCGCATCGGTGCACCGGCATAAACGTTCAAGATGCGAGTGCACCGGTTGAAAGAGTGCACATCGGCTACAGTTTGGGTTGAACCGGGTTGAACTCGCGATGCATCGATTGCGTAGCGTCTTTGCATCGGTAAAAAACCGATTCATTCATATAAAACAGCCATGATACATAGATCCGTCCTAGATGCAGACTTGCATACACACAGTATCACTCCGCAGCCGCACCCCATCAGTAACGTCCTGATGGTATATTTGCGTGGCACTATTACTACAGACGGTCAACTTGAAAAATCGCTCGCAAATTGTTAACAATGCCGAGCCGCTTTAAAGTACACAAGTAGTTCGAGGAACTTAGCGACGCACATAAAGAGGCGACATGGGGTCTGCGGCTGAAAAGAGAAACCTGAAAGTGAGACATATGAGTTAAATCACTCAGTGAGGTGTTCTGTCAGAGAGAGGTGTTTAGCTTACAGCAGCCTGTGACGGCCAATAATAATTTAAATGTCTTCCTTACTGTAAGCAGTTATGAAATACCTGTTTGTGAAAGGTTATTTGTATTCTTTATTGTTCATATAGAAACCACTGCTTTCTGCTCACTGGTGAGTTAGCCTATGAATGAGTGTTAAGCACATCAGGCTGGCAGCTGTATGGGCATTGCTCTATGGTAGCTGTTATTTGCACATTGTTAATCATGAGCAATGCATCCTTACATTGTTTAACTGTGAGGTTTTATACAATTGTACTCTGGAGAGCTTTTAAAGGTAAAAAAATAAACGGCATGATGGGATGTGCAGTACCAAATATGTAAAGCACTTTTTTGTTAATGTATGATTTGCTGCATATAAGGAATAAAACAAAAATCCTCTGTCGTACCATATTGAAGTATCATTATTTTTGCATCGTGTTGAATCGCATCGTATCGCCCCGAATCGCATAATGTTGAATCAAATCGTATCGAACTGTATCGCAACAGGGGTGAATCGTATCGTATCGCATCGCCTGGTGTTTCAAAGGTATCGTTAATTTATCGTATCGTGGCAACGTATCGAGATGCGCATCGCATCGGCCTCAGTGATGGAGATGCACATCCCTAGTTTCCAGCTACAGATCGAATCCTATCACAATACAAATCTAAACTTGCTCTGAACGGCCTGATGTACGCTCTTTTCAGATTTTTTTTTTTTCAATTGACCAGATGTATTGCCAGTCGCATCCTTCATCATTCAAAAGTTTGCAAAAGAATGTAAATCCAGCTCATTAATTAGGTGTTTGTTACCTCTCAGCTCCTCACCAGTACCAGGACTTCCCTCTCCCTTAAAACGCTCCTTAAAAGCCTAAGCCTCCTCTCCTGTATCCTCTGGAGAAAAAAAACACCTTACCTTTTAAATATTGAAAGTGAGAGATCCGCTGTGTGTAATATGCTAACTCTGCCTTTGATCTATCTTTAGCTGCTTTGACTTTATTCTATTTTAATTCTTATTGTCCCTCATTTTTCAGGGTTCTACGGTCTCAAGGGAAGCGAGCGACAAGGAGAAGGTACGTTTTATTGCTGTGCAGGTGACGGCAGCTGATGGGACAAAAATAAACGCCCTTAGCTTATCACAGAGGCAAACCTGCCAAATGACGGCTAAATGAAGCATGTTTAAGTATGCAGATGGATTCTAGTAGTAGCTTTTGCACTGGCCTCATATGATCAGTGTGTACTACTCAGTGGAGGAGGAAGTACTTGGATCCTTTACTTAAGTAGAATTAATATGGTAAGTGACATACAGAATTATTTTCTGTCAAAAGTACTCGGTATGCACAATGGCTCTTTTTTAAAGTTTTATTGAATATGAACATTTTGTAATCATCACTAAACTATACATGTCATATTTTTTTATGTTGGAGTTTGTAAATGTGGAGTCAATTTTAGTTACCTTTTTGAAATACTGTGTTTATTAAAGATTACACTCCTGCACCACATCACATGTTTTCATACATGAAAAAGTAGCTATAGCTACGATGAGTGTTAAATACAGTGTATCCGGAAAGTACTCATACCCCTTGACTTTTTTCACATTTTGTCATGTTACAGCCTTATTTCAAAATGGATTAAATTCATTTAGTTTCTCAATATTCCACACATGATACCCCATAATGACAAAGTGAAAACGTTTTTAAAGAATATTTTGCAAACGCGTTAAAAATAATCAAATGAAATATTACATTTACATAAGTATTCACACCCTTTGCTTTGACAATGAAAATTGAGCTCAGGTGCATCTCGTTTCCACTGATCATCCTTGAGATGTTTCTATAACTTGACTGGGGTCCACCTGTGGTCAATTCAATAGATTTGACATGACTTGGAAAGGAACACACCTGTCTCTGAGGTCCCACAGTTGACAGTGCACATCAGAGCACAAACCAAGTCATGAGGTCCAAGNTGTGTGTGTGTGTGTGTGTGTGTGTGTGTGTGTGTGTGTGTCTGGTCTTCATCATTTAAAAATGGAAGATGTTTGAAACCACCAGG